ATCTGCCCATTCTCTATCAGCAGTCTGCTACCCTCAAATCGACATAGCGCCTCGGTCGCGCGTTCGACGATCGCGTAAAACGCGAGGCTGCGTCGCAAAGCCTGAACGCTGCCTAATAGCTGATCCTGCCTGACGCTCGGAACGCTGTTGGACGCTATTGGTCGCTGGTGGACGCTGCAGCAAAGTATGGTCGCAGCATTAGAGCGCGTAGATCTGTCGAAGTATCGATTGAACGCTATCGATACCCCTTCACTTCATTTTCCTACAGAGAGCGCAAACGGTTGGTTCTCTATTCATGGCTCACACCTTAGTAGTTGCACGTGGACATGATTAGACGCAATCGGGACAAAGGTAGTGGGACAGCACACGCGTTGGCGCGACATGTCACTTCTGCTTATCGATGCTCTGCACCGTGATATTGTCCGGAACAGTTCTGAGGAAGTCCCAGGTACCATTTGAGTGGGGAAAACGTTAGCAGTCTGTGGTGCCAATTCCCGTCCTAGAACTTGGAGCAGTGAAAAGAAAGCACTTTGTTGCTGTGGATCCGCCTAGGTCCCACACAGAAAGACCTACCTATCGCATAAGCTTACGATGTGCCACGGTCCATAAGAGCCCCACTGCTCCATCCCTGACCCTTTGCTGTGGTATGGAGGGGTCGACTCAACACCTCCCGAGCGAAGGATCTTGAAATCTCCTCGGAACTGCGTGGAAGTTTCAGTTTCCAATGACCCACATAACCTCTTGCTTGGACACGATGTGAAAGCATTGCTACGATACGATTCTGCTTCGCGGAATCGTTTGGGGAGCAGAAATGGACGAAACTTGACCTACCGGTAGCCTCCGTGAGAATAAATGTCGACCACACTTAGCCAGATGAAGTAGGCAAATAGAACACCAAACATACTGAGGGGTAGCCTGGTATCACTGTTATCATTCCTCGAGGCTTGAATGTACATTGCTTTTGCAAACGGATTTACTCTTCACAGTGTGCACAATCAAATACCTATTTTACTGCCACCACATCGCTGCTTTATACTGTTCCTTTCTTAAAGTGAGTTAGCACGATGAATCTTTAGGACGAGTAATAATTATGATGATACGCCTGGCAGGACAGAACTTGGCGTGCAGGCGCTGCGTTGCGCTTGCTCAATGAAGTTGCCCTTACAAGGCCTATCAAGCTGCAAACACTGACCCGAACGCCCCGCGCCAGTTCGCCCACAAATGGACGGTCGTACCTGATGCTCGTATTGCTTCATTTGCGAAGTAAAATATGAAGCGAAGGGGATGATATGAAGCGGTGGTACTGCATGGATATATGAGTACATACGTAAAGCCGTATATACCGTAGCGGTTATTGGCAAGATGCCTACGAAAAATCCGTCCGAAATTCCTTTTAAGTCATTAAGAAGGAAGGCTTCTGCAGGTTTTGGCCGTTTCGCACCATTTCTTCGCCCATTTCCCAACATACAGCACCCTGCTAGGATATTTTACCAAGTACCAAGTTATTGTGCCGTATGGCCTTTTGCTAAATAAGATCACCAAGTTATCCAAAGGTCTTGACCGAATGTAGGACTCGAACTCGCACATCACCCTGCCCTGACGGTGGCATTGTCCTTTTCGCTAAGCTTTGCTGGTATAAAGCAAGCAGGTCCGGAAAACTCGTCCGATAGGCTAGCAGGTCTTCACTTATGGTGATCCATGCGGCTTTTTCCGTGTTTTGCTTCCCTGCAGAATTATTTAGCGACTATAGGTTAGTTTGTGAAGGCCAATATTCACAATATATAATCGCAGGGTTAGTCCTAAATGTTTTCCAGCTCCTCGAAGTGCAGAACACCGCGATTAATAGAGGGAGTTGAATTTCCGTTTGGACGCGCGCTCAGTTTTTGCTTCACGAAACTCATTTACAGAAGTACCTAGAGAACCAAATCTTCGTGAAACTTGTAATGCAAGGGTTATCATTCTTGGCGCTGGAGCTTAAGTGGAGGACACGTACGATTATTGCTGAGTTCAGAGCCCTAGCAGAACGCAGTAATCGTAAACTCCTTTCGATTAAACTATAAGAACTATAACAATGTTAAACGTCATTAATCGTAAACTCCGCCAAGAATGAGTGTGCATATTCCTTTCAGGACTTTGAACTAATCCGCATATATTCAGCGATTGTATTTACAGGCAACTTCATGAAGACCAGCAGCCAAAGCTGAGGTCTCAAAGCGCATCAGCCCCATCGAGGCAGTTCATGACCTGACGAAGAAGTTTTAGCGAGCTTTATGCGCAGACTTTGTTTTCAATGTTAGCCATGCAAGTGAGAAAATAAAAAAGATTTATTTTAACAGCTCCTCAAAAGTTGTCACATCTTGCAGACTATGTAAATACTACGAGAGGCCTTAAAGGCTTTGTTACATGAGACCGCACTCCAATTATCTCGACGAGGTGTTTTATTTCCTTTTAACTCAATCTGAAACAGTACCACTTGACATTGATGACAAAAGGAAAAACTGCATCCAATTACTGTCATACGGTGCTTACTTTTCCTGTTGAATGCTAACTCGGACTCACTAACAAGGACACAAGACTAATTGATTATATAGTTGTGCCTCTCCGTGCTTCTAGGTGAATCTATCCACTCAACGGTATCCTGTTTCAATCATTTGCTTTGGTAGGGTTTGGAAAGGTTGATACGAACTTCTCGTCGTTGGCATTGTTGGTCATCTAGATATACAGGGGGGAGGGCAAAAAAAAGTCATTCCGGCCGAGTCACATATGAGCGAAGTTTTCGCAGCCCAGACAGAGGAAGTGGATATGAGTACCAGGGCGGAAGATACCCAAGATCTTCCTCTATAAGCAGGAGCCGGCTGCCGCCATTCACCTTCATGTACACCAAAATATGAAGTCATCTCCAGTCGCGGCCTGAGTGGAGAACGCCTTTGGAATTCACGTGGCCTCCAAACAGCTGCGGAACTTCTTGAATGGAATCACCCATGGATAGCTACCTGGAGACCAGTACTCTTGATCTGCAAGACCCCAAACATCGAGCAGCTCCGGCAACGTCGCTACGGTCCAGGACATCATCTTCACCCCATTTCCAAGGCGCGGGTTGATGGTGTGGACCGGCCGTACCTGGAATGGATGAACCGATATTTTCTTCGTGGGCCCCAGACTGAGGTGTGCGCTGGTGGCTACATCGAGCAACTCCGAAGAGAATATCCCATCTTCATGTCGTCGCCCGTACCTTCTTGGAAACTTTGTACTGCTACAGGATTGGGTGACAACACATTTAATCGAAGGGCGTTGGAAAAACTTTCGCCTACTTGGAATGGAAGAACGTTGAGTACCTGGAAAAGATGGAGTATTTAAGCGGGGGTCCTGAACTAAACCCCTCAATTACTCGGTTCGGGCGGAGCTCAACAGGGTGGTCTACAGTGGCGGAGAAATCAACGATCTCGCTCAACTCCGGTACCCACTCACTTTCGCGCGGCCGAATCTCTCGATGGCGCTCCTCCAGAAGGCTGTGGCGGAGTATCATTATAGTATTTAATGTGCTCTTTAATATGGTAGTGAAAATTGTCCGATAAAAAATTCAATCAGTGTTATACTTATCTTGCGCGCCTTGAAAGTCATCCGAGGCAAAATGACTTTTTTGGCCCCCCCCCCTGTAACTTTAGTTTCGCTGCGGAAGGGAGTGCGTCAGGTAGCATGCGCCAAAGCCATTCCCGACAGTTGTTGAAGCGGGTTTGGGCAACAGTTGATAGAGCACGAGTGATACGAAGGATATGATGCAGCGTTGTCACTTGCTCGCTTTTCAGCAGCTGGTGCGAGTAGGTGTGCCAACGCGCCAAAAACTCATCCCACGTAAAACCCGCCGTTCTCTCAGCAGCAAACTAGACTATATTTACGATCTTATTACGACGACTACCATTTTTATTTAATATTTTGTAGTCTTTCGCACATCCGGGGTTTTCACAGCTCCTAATTCAGTTTTCCAAAATTTAGCGATGACACTTTGCGCTGTTCGGTGGGCATCAATCTTGCATTACAACCTCTCCCCTTCTTGAATCTAGATCTCCAGATGCTAAGAAGATCTAATTCGATGGGTTTTGCACAATCATACTGTACCCTGTAGCGTAATCTCGCACAGCATGGAGAACTTGATGACCGTACTCGTGATCTCGTCCGACTCTCCAGCAGTTAGTGATGGCAGTATCGATACTACACATGCCGAAGCCTCTTGCTAAGGAAACATC